GTGTCCAGGAAATGGAATGGGGGCGGGGGGACTGTGATTAAGGTGCACATCAATGGAATAACGTGTACTGCTTTAATAGATTCGGGCTGCTCTCGGTCACTCACGAACGGTTCGATTTGTCGACAGTGGAGCAGACAAAAGATGGATGTACTAACGGCTGATGGAAAGGCTCTCAGAGCCCGGGGAGTTGGAAACATCACACTCAGTATCAACAATGGTGACCCCGTCACAGTCAGTGTGTTAGTCGTGGACAGCGCGTTATTAGGTTTTGATCTGCTCCTTGGGATGGTCATTATTAAGGAGCTGGGCAGCGTACGCATTACAGAGGCGGGTGAAATCAAGTTTTCTGATCCGTCCATCTGTGCTACTTTGAAGATCAACGAACCCGACTTTAGCACAGAGTTCGACCAAAGGACGAAGATATAAACAGCATTTTGGAAATGGTCGGAAAATAACCCACCAGAAAAGCTCCAGAACCGAGTGTCCGAATATTCGGTGCCCGAACGTGTCAAGGAAGAATACCAGCACGAATTGCAGGTGTGGCTGGACAATGGATGGCTGACTCTGTATCCCGAGGAAGAGCTTGGTCCTCCAAGAGGCCTCATCCCGTTGATGGCTGTGGTACAAAAGAACAAGGGAAAGGTGTGCCCTGTACTAGATTATAGAGAACTGAACAAACATGTAGACACATACACAGCTCATGCTGATGTGTGTGCACAAAAATTGAGAGAATGGCGAACAAAGGGATCCAATGTCTCTGTGATTGACCTTTGAAAGGCCTACTTGCATGTACGCGTGCACTGATCACTGTGGCCATTTCAGACGGTGATCCTTAATGGGACGAGATACTGCTTAAGTGAATCAAGTTTTCAGCATTTCTTTCTGCCCTCGATATTCGAGCCTGTACTTACAGTGATTTTTCTTTGTGGTGTGGAAGTAATCTGCAACAGATACTTCCTTTGCTTTCAGAACGCTTACGCTTACAATATTCTAAAAACCAAATGAAAGAATGGTAAGAAACACTGTTATTCAGTCCCAAATCTTTTATGACCTTTAATACAGCAAAATAAGCATTAGCTAATTTCACCAAACTTTCATAATATTATCAATAGAAGTAAATTTACTTTGACTATTGATGCAAATACTTCCACAAAACAAAAATAAAATGTCCCAATTTCATTCTTTTCAGCAAAATTAAATTCTGCAAAGAACTCCTGGCAATTTACCTTGTTATCAAACACTTCTGCCACTTTTTGGAAGGCAGGTCATTTGTGATATGGACTGACTATAAACCTCTACTCTGCAACTTTGATATATTTGGGAAAGATATAAGAATAATCAAGAATCTATACTGGCAACAAAGGGCTTGCATACAGATAGAAAATAAGTTCAGCAGATATACAAAAATAGAAAGGAGTGTAAGATAAGGATGTGTTTTCTCACCAGACTTATTCAACCTATACATTGAGGTGATTCTGAGAGAACTAGAAGTCCTACCAGGATTCATATTGGCAACCACAATATTAACAACATAATGTATACAAATGATACGATATTGGTAGCAGATTATCTAGAAAATGGCACTGCTTACGAAATAGAACAAGTGTATGCTCACCTCAACTATGACAAAGCTCATATTTATAACATTCTAGCAAAAGGGGTTATAGTTGGATAAGACCAAACTAAATCTTTTTTAGGGAGGCAAAATAAGTGGTATGTCTGGTGAGTTCCTAATACAGCTTTTGAAGAGAAGAATTTTATACCAACCATTAAACATGGCAGTAACAGCATTATGGTTTGGCGGTGCTTTGTTGCAGCTAGTACAGGCAAAATAGTATGCATTGAGAGCACAATGAACTCTGCAAGATACCAAGCAATCTTGAATGAAAGTGTCTTGTCCTTGGGTCAAAAGTTGGATTTAAGTTGGGGCTAGAACTTCCAAGAGATCAATAATATGAAATATCAAAGCAAATCCACAAAAAAATGGCTTCATAAAAGGAAATTTCAAATCTTGGAATGGCCTAGTCAAAGTTCTGATCTAAACCCAAAGGAAAATCTGTGATTCAAGTGTAAGAAAGTAGTGCATGCAAGAAACCCAGGTAATATCGAGTAATAATGGGAATTTTGCCAAGAAGAATGGTCAAAAATTCTACTGCCAGAAACTTCTTAAAAATTATAGAAAAAGACTGGTTGACATTGTAACCTCAAAAGGACCAGTCACTAAATATTAAATGTAAATAGGCCCCCGATTTTCCATTTCAAATTTTCCTTGATTCCGTTTCCACTTTTGGTAAATTCTGTTTTTACTTTTGGGAAATTTCATTTTTTTTTTTTCATTTTATAGTATTTTATGAGAAAATCACAATACAAGTTGCTATATTATTGTTATTAAAACAAAAACATAATTCAAAGTTTTATTACATATAAAGAAATAGCAAATATCTAGAAATCTTTTTTTAAATGTTAAAGTCCAAGTTCAAACATAAATGATATGTAAAAATTAAAAAAAATGTAACATGACTAGACAATAAAACTGAAAAGAAAATTTTTAAAATATTTAAAAATAGACAAGCCAACATATTCTCAGAAAATCTACAAACGACTTTTCTTTTTTTTAAGTAAACGTTTTTGTTCTTAATTATTTTTCAGGTCTTAAAAGGAAAAATAAATACAAATATTTGTAAAAACAAATTTTAAGGAAATAACTACATTATGCTATTGTTATATTTATTAAAATGTTTAACAAAATTGGAGAGACAGTTATTAAGTTTTGAAAGAATTAAAAAAAAATCAGGTAATTAATTTATTTATTATTAAATAAAAGATTTAATTAAAAAAACAGATTCTGTTTAAGAATAATTATTCCTTGATTGTGGAAAATTTGTTCCCCTATCTAAGGGTTTACTTATTTTTCCACATCTTAATTTTTAATTCATTTAATAAAACATTCATGTAATTCATTTAATAAAGGTTTTTCTTCATGAATATATAGTTTAATTAAGATTTCTTGACCATCTGGAAAAAAAGAGACAATTTTTTAAAAAATATTATCTCAGGGGTTCACTTACTTTTGCACAGCACTGTATGTTCCAGTGCTTTGCTATTTACCTCGAGCTCCATGATAAAATATAAAGAAGAAACATTATTTACATTATTCGGACTATTGTCCTCATCTTTGTCACCATATTTATTACAATGTTTCGGCCTTCTTCAGGTGCTTGGAATGTCGAACTTAACCCTTTATTTCGCTCACTGGGGTAGATTGTTCTAGTTTCAAGTGCCATGTTTAATGGATGTCAGTTATCAGTTATCTCCTGTTAATTTCCCTCTGAAAGTTATCTACTGCCTTAACCAGGTATTGAACTCACACTCTTTTGGTCCTGTCACTGGATCTAACCAACGCCTTTATCCTCTGTGCCATGTGTCCAAAGAGTATGAGTTGTACACTCCGGCCTTCTTCAGGTGGCTGGAATGTTGCACTGAGCCCTTTATTTCGCTCACTGGGGCAGACTGTTCTAGTTTAATGGATGTCAGTTATCAGTTATTTGTGAGTTCAATACCCGGTTAAGGTAGTGGAGAACTTTCAGAAGGAAATTAACAGGAGATAACTGATAACTGACATCCATTAAACATGGCACGTGGAACTAGAACAGTCTACCCCAGTGAGCAAAATAAAGAGTTCAGTACGACATTCCAACCATCTGAAGAAGGCTGGAGCGTACAACTGCCGAAACATTGTAATAAATAAGGCGACAAAGATGAGGACAATAGTCTGAATAATGTAAATAATGTACATTACCTCATCTCAGAAATATAGACAGATACTGAAAGGCCGAAACGTTGTAATAAATATGGTGACAAAGATGAGGACAATAGTCCGAATAATGTAAATAATACCTTATCTCAGAAATATACAGATACTGAAGAAGGCCAGAGCGTACAACGGCTGAAATGTTGTAATAAATATGGCAACAAAGTTGAGGACAATAGTCCGAATAATGTAAATAATGTACATAATACATCATCTCAGAAATATAGACAGTAATGAAGGGCCGAAACGTTGTAATAAATATGGCAACAAAGATGAGGACAATAGTCCAAATAATGTAAATAATACATCATCTCAGAAATATAGACAGATAATGAAGGGCCGAAACGTTGTAATAAATATAGCAACAAAGATGAGGACAATAATCCGAATAATGTAAATAATACCTCATCTCAGAAATATAGACAGATACTGAAGGGCAAAAGTTGTAATAAATATAGCGACAAAGATGAGGACAATAGTCTGAATAATGTAAATAATACCTCATCTCAGAAATATAGACAGATAATAAAGAAGAAACATCAGTATTATTGGTCCTGACCAGGTGACTTGTCTTCAGTGACTTTCCCACCACTGTAAAGTTGCCTCTCTGTGCTTTTTCTATAAATATTTTCATGATAATTGTTTACATGTGCTCTTCATTATGGTACCTAGACTTATTTGAATTTAAGCACAGTACTAGACTGGTATTAATTTACAGTTGAGCTGGATGGATGTCTCTGCAAATTCTATGCTAACAGTTTCTTTTCTCACACTTCTCACTTGTGGAATTCCCTTTTGGCACCATGCTTTCCAGACAACTTTAATCTGCAAACATTTAAATGAAATGTCAATTGCTATCTACTATCCTCCTGATAACTCTTTCCTCTTCCTACTCATAATTAATGTTTCTGTTTCTAATTCTTCCACACAGAGTAACCCTTTGTGTCTTAGTGGCTTTACATGGGGTGATACCGATTTAAAAAAGAAATCACCCATTTTTTTTCTGTTTCAGTTTATTCATGAAAAATTAATTTGAAAATCTGAGTTGATGACTTTTCATGATCACAGATGATTTGAAATCAGCTTAATTTCTCAACCTCATCCAAACCCCATGTTTAAAAATTAAAATTTAACTTTCCTGCAATTAATTCTTTATTTACCAAATAAATTGACCTTTTCTTTTTTCCAGACATTTATCACCACTGATCACTGCCATTAGAGAGCTTCTCATTTTACAAGTCCTGATCCATGAAAAACTCTCTGACAAGCCCTATGTGAGCATATACTCAATGAGGTATGGTCTATCTTCTCTCTCTCTATTGTAAAATCCCAATGTTTAAAAAAAATAATAATAATTACATTTTTATACACAGTTATATTATTACAATATGAGTTTAAGCATTTTTCCTTAAATTCCAAGCAACTGCATAAATTTCTTTTGAAATAATGTAGTCTTTAAAAAAGAAACAATCATGAAAATAGTTTCTTTAGAAATTCATCAAAAATGGATACAATATTTTTCAGACACTTTTCTGAAATATAACTCAATGTAAATTTTACTTTGTGTTATAAAATATTGCAACTAAAATATATATATATGTGTGTGTTATCAGTTAGAAATTATCTAAACTTTTATTGCAGCTTCTACTGTAGATGATTAAAATTTTCCTGTTCTTACTTGTAATAGAGTGCTTGGAAAAAGAGAGAAATCATCCTGGTTTTCTCTACTCTCCATTCTCCATTATAGGCATAAGTATATCTGTAATAAACTAACACTTTAATGACACAAAAAGGAAGACTAGAATAATACAAAGAGATGAACTCCAAAAATGAGCTACATATGAAAACATTTTATGTACAAAAGTCGAGTACACTTAGATAAGAAATGCTAAACATGAAATGTATGCAGTTCATTGTCGACTTATGACCAATAATGGCATCCCAAATTTCCAGGAACTGGTTCTATAAAGGCAGGTAATCATTAGGAGCCTATTCTGCTTATATTCTTTTCAGTCTGAGAATGGAGAGAAATCACTTTATATAGTATCAAAAAGAATTAAGCCATTTTGATAATTTAATGGAAAACATTTTTATTAAGATATTTCCAGATTGAAATTCTGTTCTCCTCATATTTTTGTTCAAAAGTATGATGCTTTTTGACCCTAGCTGTATTATTGTTTCTTAGCCACATTTGAACAGAATTGCTGCAGTCCCAAACATCCAATGGAAGATTTATCAAATGACTAGAAGATTTGGCACATTTTTAACTTCAAGACGATTTCTTAATAAATTATGTTCATCACAGAAAATACTTTTTCAGCCTCCTCAGAACTTGCAGCAATGGTATTAATTATATTTTTAGCTTTTATACATCATATTATTTTCGGATAATCCAACAATCACTTTGCTAAGCTTTTATAATTTTAAGAATTGATTTGCAAGAAGCGGTAGGATACCACCACTGCTTAGTATGACCTACGTGACTTACAACTGTTCAACTTTACAGCCATGACTGTGAATTGGTACATCAGTCCATCTGGCCACAACTGCTCGAACAGCCCCTTCCCCTCTGCCGTCTAACTGCCTGAATGTTTGGAGGCTGTGATGGAGAACGGCATGAATGTCATCTGGAATAAAGTGTGTTAAGCGTTATGGTGTTGATAGATTTGACAATGATCCTCAACTTATTTTTAAATCAAGAATCTGTAGAACTTTCATATGAAAGGCTAATCACATTGGAAGAAGAAAGAGTGGCAGAAGAAGGAGGAAGAAAAAAATGAGAGGAAGAGAGAGAAAGGAAATTTACCACTTAGGGATTATCAAAAGGTTTATCTCTACTGGATAATCTTCTTGCATATTTTGAACGAATGAACCCAAACATTGAATGACTTGCAAGAATTAACCAGATTGCACACAATGTATTTCATCCATATCATGAAATTTATAGGGAGAAAAAGAAACAAAGCTCACCATGTTTGCAGAAGAACCAATTCCACTGGCAACCCTAAGCCCTGCCCCAGCAAACAACATCAATCCACAACAAAGCACCAATAGTTTTTAAGATGTTTTGTATTTGTATGTATTTCGGTATGTTTTGCAACTGAAATATTTTCTACTTTTTGCACCTGTATTCTTTATTTAGTATGCTTAGCAAATACTGAAGCAGTTATACCATAGTAGACAATGTTTGACTTAAACCTGACAAACATAAAAATAAGAAACAAAATTGTGTGTAGAGAGACAATAAAAATGATATCAAATTTAAAGAAACCGTAAAACATGAAAAATACAATACTGTCTAAAGAAAGATAAAAAGATTGCAAAATTAATTACAGGCCAACTTATGACCAGAATGATTTATGACATGTCAGTTGTAACCAATCATGGCCGTGAGTTGACTACAAATTATTTATAAGTCAGAAATGTAACCACATATGAGAAATCAAACTTTATGTGAAGGGGATGAGTAAAAAGAAAGTCTAGTAATGTCCCCAAGCAGGACACAATAGAGTACTGTGGTAAGTATTTTTAGGGTTCCTTTCTAGAATGACCCAGACTTGTGGAAAGCCAAGCAGTAACTGACTATTATAACCAATAGGCTTTCATGGGACCATCAATTAATTTCTTTCATTAACAAGACAGAAGATAATGATTGATATAAATTTTTTAATAATCAAAGTTGACAGGAAAGCAAGAAACCATAAGTAACACAAGTGAAAAGTGCAATAGAAGAAACTATTAGCATAGAACTTACGGTTCCATCTAGCCATTTCAACTATAAAATGATGAGACCTTCATGACAATCTGGTACTGTACTTAAATTCATAAAGTCTAGGTAAAGTTTTCATCTACAAAACATTCATTCTTACACAGTCACCACCATTGGCAAGGCATTTTTTGTGAGGGGAGCAACAAGAACATGAATCTCACATCTCAACATCCACTTTGGAAATTGTAGGCCAACATAATAAAACCTTATTTACATGATTTGGACTATTGTCCTCATCTTTGTCACCATATATATTACAACGTTTCAGCTGTTGTACACTCCAGCTATCTTCAGGTGGTTGGAATGTTGAACAACCCTTTATTTCGCTCACTGGGGTAGACTGTTCTAGTTCCACATGCCATGTTTAATGGATGTCAGTTATCAGTTATCTCAAGTTAATTTCCCCTCTGAAAGTTCTCCACTACCAACCACCTGAAGAAATATAGACAGATAATAAAACCTTAATTTTGAAAAATGATCCTTGTGTGTGTTTGCACATTTAGAAAGAAAAAATTAAAATTCAACAGGACTGCACAAACTGACGCATGAAGATACAATATTTGAAAAAGAGACTAAACTGAGTTAACACAAAAAAAAACATTATTTGATAATGACTTATGAAAGCCAAAAGGACTCTGAAGACATTGGATAATTTAGATGTAAATTTTCATCACAAACCAAGAAAACTGTTTGAAATATACAAAAAAAAAAAAAAATAAACAAAAAAATCCTTAACAAAACTTTTGCTGTCCTTCAACCAAATTTATATAGGTTGGGATGACAGCAAATATCTACTTATGCTTTTTATATTTAAGTGATGACATTCTTATATTTTTTTTTTTTTTTATTTCATTAACATTTGGAAGCACACAAAGATGTTCAGTTGGTCCTGAAAACTTTGTCAATGTTTAATATTGAATAGTATTTTTTAAATTGGGCTAAATTTCAAATCCTCATTTTTACCCTCACAAGAATCTGTCTCTTACACCAATCAAATGATAGCAACTGTAACAGTGGCAGAGACATGAGTGAAAACTCTTTTCAACTTTGTCTTATTAGTTTTCTAATAAGAGTATATTATATATGTTGTATATAATGTATATATCTGCATTTGTCTTGATGTTTTACATGGTATTCATTTTTAGTTTTCAGTTTTTAAGTACCGTAGTAAAAATATATTTTTGTGTCTGCATTTTGACATCTGATCATTTATTTAGTAATTTGTGTTGGTCTGGATAAGTGAGTATGGCTATTTTTTCTACCAGACAAAGTTTATAGTTTAGGGATTTATTGTTGTAGGCTGATGCTGTTTTCCTTATTTTCCATAATATTTTGGGTGTAATTTGGTTTTTGTTTTTAAGACCCCATATATGTTTAGAAAGGGTTGTGCTGATCATGTATTTACTATAGGTAAAGGATTTTTTGCATGTACAGTTTCTGTTTCCAGGGTCCTTCAGTTACTCCAATATAATTTCTTCTTCATTATTTGCTGTTCTTACAATGACTTGGTATGTTATATTGCTTTGCAAACAATTGCCATTTAAGGGATACTCATGCTTTGTTCTGCAGTTACAGGTGGATTTAGTTTGTGCAGATGTTTTATTGGCTATTTTTCTGTTGTGCTTTTTTGTATCATGTTTTTGGTGCAACTGTAGCTGATTTTTTTCTGTATTTCTGTTGAATATATTGTGGAGTGTCTTTGATGGAAGGAAGTGTTTGTGGGTGAGTTTTATGTTTTTAGTTGAATAATGGGTTAAACTATGTCTTTTTTCTGTTGGCTTTTTTGTACTGTTTAGTGTGTATGTGAGTGTTGCCAAAAATCCACAATCATTTAACACTTTCATAATCTTTTTTCACTTTATTGAAGATGGTTTCATTAGAAAATTGTCAGATAACCTACAGTTAATTGATTGTGGGGTCTGCTTCATTAAAGCTTCATGTAAAGTGGTCTGTCATTTGGTTTTCTAATATGGCTGATGTATACCTTTTATTAGGATGAGTGAGACAGGAAATTTACTTCTTTTAGGTTTGTTTTATGACTATGTCGAATCCTATAGTTTTGAAAAATTTTGTGATTATTTTTCTGGTTTTGTCTGTTTTTTTTTTGTTTGTTACAGTTTTTTAGGATTATGAAGCCATCACCCCTGTAGAGGTTTATATCATTTTTGTTGATTACTTTGCTTAGTTCATGTAGTATATGTATGCTTATAAGCTCACAATTTTTTTACCTTCCATGTTAATATCATATAACATACAGAATACAATATTAACATATAATGTCAGTGCAATTAGATTGATATATTTAAAAAAAACATTGAAAATTAAGTACTACAAATATTTTATATAAAAGTAAATTGTACAGTGTTTACATTAGTCGGACTATTGATATATTTGTCACAACATTTCAGCCGTTTATGCGCTCGGCCTTCTTCAGGTGGTTGGAACTTCGAACTGAACCCTTTATTTCAATCACTGGGGGTAGACTGTTCCTCAAGGACACATGGCACAGTGGAACTAGAACATGG